TACCTAGAGTGAGTGAAGATAGGGCAGTTCTCTGTCACAGGGGTGATTATCACAAGGATATGTTAGTTTCCATAGTTGGATCAGGTAAGCTTTCAGATTTCCATAATGAAATTTTGCTCAGAGAAAGAGAAACCCACCTCAGTATAGGAACTTCTCTTAAAGTATGAGCCCTTCTCTTGGGATGGACTAGTTGCTCACTCAGTGGACTAGCTCTAACTCAAGTAACCCCCTGCATCTTGGTGCTCCCACATCCTGTTTGAAGACAGTTTGCATGAGTATGTCAGTAGGCTGGAGTTGGTATCTCAGTTTGATTTGCTTTTCATTCAGTGCTTAGCAATGTCTTGATTTGAGAAGCATTTGAAATCTATGTGGGTCTCCTAACATCTGTTCTGCTTGAGATAGTCAATTTAAAAACAGGATTTGAAGGGACTTCCCCCATTGTTAAAATCCACTTGCTCAGTGTTGAATGACAATCTTTCATCTTATCCTTTTAAAACTGCATCAGAAGTCATTTTTTTCCTCTGTTACTCTCTTTGCAAATTTGTCTGCAACCTCAGTCTCTTCACAGCTAGAAATAGTCGTCCAATTTCCAAGCTGGAGATATTCTTGCCAGTTTACCCACATTTGTATGTCAGCCAGGCCTGAGATTTTAGTCCCCTTACCTGTCATATGAAATCTTCCTTTCTAATCCTCTGCAGAAAACAAGATACCCTTTTTATTGGATAGTATCCATAGAGTGATTAATGAGGAAAGTAAGTGCCTGTTTGATGCTCTAACCTACAGGTAGAATGAAAGCTCAGAAATACTCATTTATTGTTCTTCATGTTCAAGCTGTGATCTTGGCCTGTATCCTTTGGTAGGCTAAATGTTAAGGATTTCAGTTCAGCTGTCAGTTTGAATAATTCCCCAAATAGTATTCTGATTAGTATTCTGTGAGAGCGAGGGGAATGTATAAGAAACTTCTTTGTAATCCACTTTTACCCTCATCACTTAGCAACTGTGTTCTTCCATTCTCTTTTTAATAGGATTCTTCCTTAAAATATTGTAATATGCTGTCACCTGTTCATTCAATATCTTGAACAAGAACCACCTTTGCAACCATACTCCACCTGCAGAAATCTGGGTGCTTGCACTCTTGTCTTGAGACAAGTGTCATGGCAGCCGGTAAACAAATTGCAAATATCTCCATTGCATTTCTAGGTTCAGAAGGTTCCTCTTGTAAGAACAATAAGAACTCCTTTGGAAAGATTTCGCTGCTTATTAGAGGAGTCATTAATCAGTCTGGAGACGATGGACTCAATGGAATTCTCAAATGCCACATGATAGCTGGAGTTTCCAGCAGCTGAAGAGCTGAGCGTCTCCTTTATTTTCTCTAGGGATTAGGCTCTTCTTATCCCATTTCCTAGCCGATGAGCTTTTACTTTTCAGTTAAACTGCGTTCAGTTATAAAATCAAGTGTCTGCCAGAAGTCTTGCATGTACCCTGGAGAGTTCCAGAACTGCTGCCAATTAAAGCAAAATGCTCTTGATCAGATGCAGTTTTAGGGGGAGCTGTTTACTTTTCTGACTTAGATATGCCGGAATAATTTGTTTGAGAATAAAATTCAGGGCAAATTTAACAGTTTTTGTAATGGGAATCTATCACACTTCAGTGAACGAACATTTTTCAAAGTAACCCTTGTGTATTTCTTTTTCAAATTTTCATGCTATTTTCTCTAGGAAGGTAGGCAGCATTGGTCAGTGCAAGGATGTCAGCAGCTATTGTTCGTGTGTATTAACTACATCATCTCGTTTTGCTCTGGAATGTTGCTTTAAGAAGGTTTTTTCCTCCTAAATGAGTCAGTTGAACTGATGTAAGTTCCCATGGTATCAATTGGTTTGTTTAACATTTTTTCCCAAATGTCCTGGCTAGTTTTTAGCTCTGACTGAAATTAGTTATTGCCCCTTACATCATGGAGATCTCAATTCTTGAATAAAAGTAACAAATATACCTTGTTAAAAGAACCCCCCAAAAGGCAAACATGCCTCTTTTCTATCCTCCAAATGTAACTTTAGTCCCATGTACATAGAATATTGCAGCGCTGCCTTTATGTGTTCCCACCTGCTTGTTCTTGTGGTAGGTGGGATCCCATCTGCTCTGCTTCAGTGTAGTCAATGGAGAGGCTACAGAGCCTAAAGTCTCACCTGGTTAAGCATGGGAGGAGCTGCATAGGTCCTGCCCATATGTCTCAGCATTGGCCACGGGTTCAGTAGCGCTTTTTGCTGCTCCTGTCCCAGTACAAGGCTTCTGTGAGAATCCCAGATGGCGTGAATTACTAGCTAGTGTGAATGACTAGAGAGTGTTGCTGAGTTTTTGAAGGGGTCGCAGCAACCCACAACTTTAGGACTAGTGCACGTGCTGAGAACTTCATATCAAAAGCGGACAGAAATTTGACCTTATATTTGGGCCCATGCATGTGCATCAGGGATACTTTGCTACGGTGCTGCTGCATACAGCTGAAAGAATATTGACTACGCGGGGTCTTTACTGGCTTATTTTAAGGTTGTCCGAAAGTTTGTCGTGCATTGCAAATGTGTTTTTTCATCTTAGCATTCGCCTTCTCTGGCACCATTAAGTCAGTCTATGCATAGCTTGTCCTGCTGGTAGGTAAAATCTGCAAAGAGCTTTGAGACAAAAATCCTCTCCGAATATTGCAAATCCTCCCCTCTACAGTCTTGCATTTTGTTACAGCCTCCCACTGCCAGTGAAGCAAATTAGATACTTGAGTGCAGACTCAGATAACATTTGAACTTTCCTCCAAGCTCCAGTGTTATGTACGTATAAGATCTGTAAACATCTTTCTACTTTGTGTGGAGTTACTTGAATCATTGTAAACGTCTAAAATTCCAAAGAAAATTTGTCATCGGCATTTTAAATGTCTAAACCTTTAAAAAGCTCTAGAGAAAGTTAACCGTATTTGTTTATATCACTGCGGTTGACTATCTTTGTTTTATATAATTTGTCATGAATTTGATTGAAAATGGAGGTGAAAATATAACAACAATAACAAAAAAAAAAAAACAAAAAAAAAAACCTGTGATATCTCTTACGCAGGCAAAACCCAGCAGGTAGAAACTTTTAAAAGGTTGAGACCAAATTTCTATTCTAGTTCCCACCTGACTAATGTTCAGGTGAGTTTGGATAAACTTTGGATTATATCTCAAAACTCATTCTAACATAATACACTGATCGATAGTTTTTGCCATTGCTAAATCTGGTATGTAGCATTCTGCACCTAACAGGGCAGGGAATATGTAAATATCTTGATATAGATATATATCTATCAAGGGTTGTTTCATCCAGTGATAACTCGGTCTCTTTCTGGCACAATTTTAAAATATAGACTAGAAAGACATTTGAAAGTGACAGGGAACAGTTCCATCAGCTGTCTGAGATTTCAGAGAGGAATTCCCCAAGCACTGTGCAACTTCCTACACATCCATCAAGTGCTGTTCATTATAATTATCCTGTTAGAGCAGGGTACCAGCTCTGATGAGAAGTAGTGCCATGGAGAAAGCCTTTTACTCTGATGTTTTTATCAGATTCCAGTCGGTACTTTACAAAGCATCCTAGTTCAAAGCAAGCCGGCTGCAACAATCTCCTGAAGTAGCTTTGAAAGACGTGGCTCCTTAAATGAATCCTGGCTTTATATATTGTTAAGGTTTTATTACATGACTTGAATGACCTGGTTGGGTAATCTACAATGACTGAACAAAACAGTGGAGTCGGTTTTTCTACAAACTACAGTGATACATGCTGGTACAGATTCTCCTGACTGCTTTAAGTAAATGTGCTGCTCTTCTAGCCAAATAGTACCAATGATTTCAGGGCTGGATGACTGAGGCAATCCACTAAGTTTGGCATTGAAATGATGTTGGATTTCACCATGCTTGCTGTGTATGTAATATTTTAATAATTCCTCAGAATGCCTTGTGGAAACCATGAGACCTGGAACCAGCCAGGAAGTCTCAGTATTGTTTCATCCCACTATAAATACTGTACTCAAGTGACTTTTTCTTTGAGTGTTCTTATGTATTTTAAAATAATTTCAGAATAATTATTTTTAATTATTTGTGTTATTATTATTAAGTGGACTTTTATTATTTGGAGTAGCACAGGGCTGTGTCATTCTGAGTAAAAGCAAACATAACCAGTAGTGCTACTGCAAGTTATATATTGAATATTTGAAATAAACCCAGGAAATTTGCCTCATGTTTTGCCCCATGTAGTAGATTCAAGTAGATGAGGGTGGTTTTACTTTTAAGGTTATGTAACATTGGTGTAAATGGGCAAAAAAGTACTGTCATTAATGACTGTATTTTGGCTTACATTTAGAATAAATCTAGTCTGTTTGGTCGGATCCCTGTGCATTGGAGGATGCGTTGTTTTTTCACTTGCAGCTTGTCTTGTTCACACCCTGTAGTCCCATCAGTGCAGAGCCAATGCAGGACATTTGTATCGCATCTCATAGCATATGAAGGTTCAAGTGGACTTGCTAGTGTTCCAGTGCCAGTTCCTGAAGTCAACATAGATCCAAATGAGTTTGATTTTATTGACATACAGCTAAGCTTGAAATGGGAGGTGCTGAGAAACACAAAGCAGTTGTGGCCATGTGGAGATGGTTTGTCTGGGCTACCAAATGATCCCTTCTGCACCCAGGCATGGTCGTGATGTGGGACATTTGGATGTGTTTAGATCCTTCTAAGAATTGAGGTTTTGATTCTTGCCTTCCCTCCTCCACCCCATTTGGGGTCAAAGTAAAATTTTGAAGTCAGATGTGTTTTCCCAGAATGAACAGATACGTTTCCTAGTGAGTTCCAAAGATTTGTGTGTGAATAACAACATCTATTTCAGCCTTGAGGGCCATTAGAAATCCAGTAAGCTTACTTCACTATGTATGTTTTGGGATGACCAAAAAAAAAATTGTCATGTTGATTATGTTTGATTTTTATTATTTGCAGGGGAATGTAACCTTTTCCTGCTCAGAACCACAGATTGTTCCTATCACCTTTGTCAGCGCCAGTCGAAGCTACTTGCTACTACCCGGCACTCCTCAAATTGATGGCTTGTCAGTCAGCTTCCAGTTTCGAACATGGAATAAAGATGGCTTACTTCTGTTCACCGAATTGTCTGAAAATTCAGGACCTCTCTTGGTTTACCTTCATAGTGGGAGATTGACACTGCTTATTCAGAAAGAGACAGAGAACCCAGTGGAAATCAGTGAAGGTACTTTAGTTTTGTTTACTCTCATCTGTCCCCCTTTAAAATACATAGGTCCAAACACACAGGATGAAAGGATGGTGAAGTAAGGAAGCACCCAATCTTCCTTTCTCTTTTCACATTTTCTCTTGCTTTCCAGTGGAAGAACTACTTTGTACAGCTTGAGGTAGGTCTAAGCATGGAAAGTTGGCATCCTGAGATCTCCAGACTCAACATACCTGACAATTAGCTCAGCCTCTGTGTTCTTAAACAGTCATGCTAAATTTTCTTCAGTCAGGTCACATGAAGACCTTCTTGTTTCCTGTCCTCAGATTGTGCTGAAGTCAGCTGGGAGGCAGCTCAGCTGCTGCATCATTCCCCAGCACAGGTTAAGGCAGCCTCAGAGCTGATTTTCTTCCTCTGACTGTAGCTTTACACTCTCCCTTTACGCTACACTCAGAAGAGAGACTGACTACGGGCTTCCTCTCCTCACACTCCCTCATTGGCCTCCTTAGCGAGTTTGCAAGTAGCTTTGTGCAGCTGGCGGGATGCAAGAGGATGAAATAGCATTGCCTCTCTGACCTAAAACTCAGGGGAAATTGCTTGTAAACCCTTACCAGAACAGCTATGCATTTGCTCCCAGAGACAACAGGGAAACAATTTCAGACTGTACAACAGAGGCAGGACCAGAGTGGCCCAGATGCCGTCCCAGTGTGACCTATATAAGCCATGCTGGCATCCCAAACAGAAATGTTCTTAGCCCAGGGCCTCTGCACATCCCTTGCTGCTATGCAGCCATACTGGGTAGGAGACTCGGAAGTTAATTTTCTGCATAGGTTGAATACCCAGTTTCCAAAGGTGGATGAGTAATAGACTGATGGAATTCAGATGGAGTTAAATAATAATAACAATATTTTCTAAAAGAGCAGCTGTTTAAAAATATGTAATATTAAAATATTCCCAGTACAGACTAAAAGAGGGCAGATGTGTCTATTAAAAGAAGCAGAGATAAAATCTGACAGAGTAGTCAAAGCAGAGCTGTTCCGTATGCGTGTTTCATTCCCCTTTATGATAGAAAATGAGGCAGCTCTGCCTCTATCCTTATTCCTGTAGATTGCTACAGCCTTAGCTTGCTGCAATTGAATGCTGAAAACTGAGTTTCCAGCCTTTATTGCAGTCCTAATTAAATTGTTGACAAAGCTGAGACAATGTCAATATTTGCTTGGGTGTATTTGTTTTTATGTAGTCCTGAAATCATGAACCTGAGCCCAGCCTTTGGTGCTATCCAAAACATTGCTAAACTGCCTACTTACACATGGAAAGTAAGCAAAAATTGCAAGTGCCATGCTCTGCAGATGTCAGGTACTCATAATAAACTCATGCTTGCTCAAGAATGGACCTATTTTTGCCCCAAATGGGACCTATTTTGTTTTGACATCTTTTCAAACTTCAACAACATATTTCACTTCAAAATGGACTTGTTCTAGTTGAAAAATCATCCATTTTTGCCGGGGAAGCCGGCCTCTTATTCTATGGAAATTGTGCATGCGTTAACAGCCATTGCTGTGGAAATTGTCTCATTTTCAAATTCATAATGAGATGACTTTTCATATACATAACACCACAATTTTTTTTATTTTGTATGAACTGTTCTCGCACCTCTTTGTGTCACTAAGTGCTCGTTTGTTTCTTCTGAAAGCTACATTAACAAAAAATATTCCGATAGGGAGGGGAATAAATACTAGTTGTCTGTGCCTGATCTTGGTGACTCCAGCCTGACAGTAGTGTATTTTGAGCTGTAATTAGGTTACTTCTGATCTGCACCACTGGTGGTGGCTCAGAAGCTTGCCCACTGATTTTCACGGCTGTCAGAACAGAGGATGTGGAGTTTCTTTGTAGCTGTGTGGTGCTATTTCAAGAGCCATGAGATGCAACACTGATTTTCAGAATAAGGAAACAGAGAGGTTTCCCACTTTGCACGAGTGTCTAGAAGAGAAAGAGGCTACCCAGTACTATAATCTCTCAGATACCTTCATAGGTTCCTGGTCAGAGCAACAATCCCAGCTCTCACAAAACCCATGTCGAAATCCAATATAGAAAGGCTTTGGTACACCATCAATAAGACTGCGTGCTAACTTAGTGCTAAAGGGTTTTAAGGAACAAAAATCCTACTGGTACCTACTGGAGTTTGTCAGGTTTCATACTGGAGCCTGAGACAGGGTATGACCATCTCACTGAATCTAATCCTCTGCAATCTCAGGCATGTGTTTAGTACCAGAAACTCAACAGACATCTTCTCTGCACTCTCCTCTGAGCTATAAGCATTCTCCAACAGACTGAAAATAAGATATAAACACCCATGAAATGGTAATAATGTGCTACCAGAAAGGCAAAAGGCCCTCCTAGCTTGCTGAGTGCCTGTAGTACCAGAATGAGGTTAGATTAAAATGTGAGATGACCTACTTAAATACTCTCAAAAGCTTTCTGTTTCTTGGGCCTTTTCTTCTATGCCAATTTGTTTCCAGAGGTAATGAGTTCTTTTCAGCTGCCAGTTCTCCCTATTTTGGGGTCAGCTGCACATTTGTGGTCACAAGTTGGAAGCAAAAGAAGGTTTGAAGAACACAGTTGTCTCCTGCACCTCTTTTTTCACTATTCGTACTTGGTTTTTGCCAGGCACAAATCTCCATGATGGGCTTTGGCATTCTGTTAACATCAATGCCAGAAGACATCGTATTACCCTGACGCTGGATAACAACGCTGCCACTGCTAGCCATGCAACCACTGTCTCAAGGATCTACTCTGGAAACAGCTACTATTTTGGAGGTTGGTTGTTTCAGACAAATGCATGACAGGTTTTCATGATGCAGATGCTCAGGTGCTCACCATTGATATCTCCCCAGGTGCACTCTGTTTGCTGCTAAAAACAAATGTTGTAATAACTGATTTTAGACCCCCCGTTGAGTTGCAGTGCATGCAGCATTGTGGGAAGCTCGAAGGGTCTTGGTCAACCCTGACAGGGAGAGAACAAGCAGAACTGCTAACAGAGCTGTAAAAGTGGATTTCTGGTAGTGGTAGCCAATGGGTACCTGCATCTAGCTGACAAAACACGCAAAAGCTACGTAGCTGTATTAGCCACAAGTGTTTTTTCTAGTTAAAAGGCCTGAGGACTATTAGTATTATTAATATCCCTGTAGATATCACTGTCCTGATCAGGCTCAGTGACTTTAGACTTCAGAGCTTAATTGACATATGGCTTAGATCTACAAAGGTATTTAGGTACTTGTGCTCTCATGGAAATGAATGTAGGTTTAGCTCAATTTTGAAAATGGAAAGAACAGTCTTGAAAAATACTACCCTCTGCTTTTTGGAGTGGAAGCATTAATTTAGATAAAGAGAGTGTCATCAACTGTCTTTTTATCTAATATATTTCTGTATAGTGCTTACCGCAGTGAGGCTCTGATCTCGATGAACCCTCTGGATACAGAACTAAGTAAGGATGCACAGGAGGCTTTGGATCTCAGAGCTGGCCAAATACTGAGGAAGCTCAGATACAAATGGTTTTCTTGCCTGCTGTCCACAGGATTTCATCCTTTTACTCTGTGGATTGCCTCAGCAGCAGAACTTAATCCAGAATGATTTTACAATTTGCACAGCTTTTTTATGGGAGTCAGTTGCTATCAACTGTGGAGTTTAAAGAAGATGGAAAAAAACACATTTTGATTTTGCTTAGCGCATGTGAAGACCACATACTCTGATGTTTCCAGTGACTGCTCTCTCTTTCTTTTTTTCCTCTTTTTTTTTTTTTTTTTTTAAGGGGGAAAAAAAAAAATTCTTGCTGAGGGATTTATAACACAGAAGGTTGTGTAGCACAAGGAATGAAGACACTTGGAATAATGAGCTTCTGAGTTCTTGCATCAGGAAATCCCAGCAGAAACAGATGAACATTCCAATATTCTTCTCTGCCTCTTCTCTTTTTCCCACAGGGTGCCCTGACAATTTCACCGATTCCCAATGTTTAAATCCCATTACTGCTTTTCAAGGCTGTATGAGGCTCATCTTCATTGATAACCAGCCCAAGGACCTCATTTTAGTTCAGCAAGGCTCCCTGGGGAATTTTAGTGATTTACACATTGATTTGTGTGGCATCAAAGACAGGTAATTATTGTTTCCTCTTTCTTGTATTTGTTCTTTTTTCATCCTAGTGGTTTATAAATACAGGTTGCATTAAGTGAAAATTCTAATCTGCCAACATTACAGATATTAGGCATAATAGAGCTACTAATAGAAAATATTACAGCAAAGATAGGAGGACTGGAGGGGAAATGGTTTCAATTACATGAGGCTCTCTTCACACTGACGTGTAGGAAATAGAGTATGCAAATTCAATCAAACTACAGATTGGTGAAAGGACTAAATTTTATGCATAAACAACATTTGATTGCTTTGAAGTTTTAGAGGGGAATGAAAGAGAAGGAAAAATTATTTGATTCATCAGAACATGTCATCCCCTTAATATACTAGCTGTTTTTGCTTGAGTAGATCATTTACAATTTTTCTTGTTAGCCATTACAGCACAGCACGTTTATAATGAAGATATGGTACACCTCATGTGACATACTGCCCATTCAATAGGACAGTATAATGATGAAATGTCTGTATCTACCAGAGACACATTTCAGTTTAAATACTGATATGAATCCCTCCTAAGCTGAAACCTGACAGGAAACCCAGATTTTCTCATAAAGAGTAGAGAGGAAACAAGCAACCAATTTTTTCTGAAGTGTTTAATAATTTCTCCTTTGCTTCCTATGGATATTTAGTGTCTAAATATTTCTGAATTATTTCTGCAAATGTGTACTTTGAAGTTAATATGTGGAATAATAGGCTCTGATTTTGTGGTTTGTTTTTATTTTAAATCTAGCTAAGTTCTGAAAAATGGAAATGGAACTGCTGGAAATTTCATGTGCTTCAGATAGTTAAGGGAGTAGTAAGGATATTTTGGAAATGCATTAGGAGCTTAAGCATTTAACGAACTTTTTTCAGACATGTTTGGTTAGAGAGGTGGAGCTGAAGGCCTATCTCCATTATCACTTACTGTAGGAAGGATCAGCCTGCTGGAGATGCAATCTTTTGAAAAGTGGGCAAACCTCTGTTATGTGAGACCTTTGTGCTCAACTCTGTATGTTCATGTTTGTTAACTTGTATGGAGAAAATACTGACTCTGCCGATCAAACCTGTTTCCATGTTTATCGATGACTGAACTCAGGGGATATAAATTTCACGCTTGGTGTGCCTGAAATGGCAGATGGAGTTGATTTAACAAAAGGAAGTAAAATATAAACTTTCTTGAGAATTGAGAGAAAAAGTGTTTTGCTCTTTTCTTGGAAAAACAGGTTCTTTAAGATCGTGTGGACCATTCAAAGGCAACTTGTGTATTTGTATATTGAAACAGAAAACAACTCTTCTGTTATGAAGCTGTTTTGCAGGGAAGAAGGAAAGACTTGATTGGGTTTGTTTTTTTTTTTTTGGTGCAAATCATATTGCACATTTTACACATCTGGAACACAATCTTGAGAGAGGTTAAATTTACAGAACTGATTTCAGGAAGGTACAAAAGTTGTTCAAAGATTCACAGGGTGAAGTACTGCTGGTGCAGTACTGAAGTCAAGAGTGGTCATAGCAGCAAGGGACAGTTGGAAAGAGGGATGAAATTCAAAGAAAATAAATAAGGAAAATACAGACAAGGCAAATCCTTTGTGTTATTTTGCCAACACAATTGATCCTAAGCCAGTGGATGAGCTGGGGAAAGACTGAACAAGAAAGTATATGTGGAGTGAGTTCTTCCTAACCATTTTTGAAAATTTTAGGTTCTGCAAGCCTATATTGTGGCATAATTGGTTACAACAAACTATAGATGGAAAATTTGGGAGAACAGGAGATTTGAATTCAAATCTAAAGACTGTATTGTGGGCTAGTCTGCATGGTGTACGCTTGAGTATGTTTTCAGATCTTGTTCAAATTTTTCACTGCACAAAATGTCTGACACTTCCAGTCACTGTAATTCGACTAGTCACCGTAGTTCAACTAGTGCTCTGTATTGCAGCAGCTCTGGACTATAGGAAAACTGGGGTCTTGCTTCAGGCATGCAGTATCCAGCTGCTCATTCTCTCTATATAAGGAGCTTTAAAACTCTGTAAAAGCATCTTCTCAGAGAAATGTGATCTCCCCTTTCTTAATTATAAGATTTATTGCTGTGTGCACTGTAAAGCACGTGTTTTTGTAATTTTAACACATGTGGGGATTGTGTAGCTTAATCAATATGTAAATGGGACATTTGTCTTCGTTATCTAAGCAAAAAACCTCTTTTGACGAATATGCCTCTATTTAGAAAGCAGTTTATTTGTTACAGGCTTGTAGGCAAAGCTCATTCAGACCTGCTCTGAAAGCAGTGGTTAGGCGGCTCACTACAACTTGCACCTTCTCTTAAAAAGAGAATTAATGACTTTGACTTGAAAGATGATAAACTGGGGCTACTATTGATAGCGGCACTATGTTTTTGAGAGAGAATCTAGTTGTGTAAGCATATTATACACAAACACCCCCCACACTCTTACCCTGGGATTCCCTGTGTAAAGTCATGAGCATCCGTTAATTTAAATGGAGCCATCTGAGGGACTAAGCCTTAATATCTCGTCATCTCTAGTATTTGAACATTATGTGTGCTCAAGTGAACTTGGCATGAAATGCCTTCTGTCTCTCTGTATTTGTTATTTCCATCCTTCAGTAACTATTTCTCAGGAAATAAATGCCCTGTCACTAGCTGAGCTGTCAGAGAGTACACACAAAAAATGGGGATGTCCATAGAAGTATACAGAGTTTTGCCTTCTTTCTGTTTGGTGGCTGGGGAGACAGTGCCAAGTGAAAATGCTTCTGGAGACACAAGTGAACTTGACCCTGTTGCTGACCCTGCTTTGAGCAGGGGGCTTTTGCCAGAGACCTCCAGAGGCTCCTTGCAGCCTCAGCAATCCTCTGAATGAGGCAACCCAGTAGCTGCTCTGGTCCTGGCTGAGTGGACAGTTCAGGATGTATCTGCGAGAGCTGGGATTAGCAGATAACACGCAGAAAACTCATGTCTTCTGTGCTTTCAGTAGGACGTTAAGATGTTGTACAGTCTAGAGTTGAACACAGTAATATGGACTGTCCCGATGATGGAAGAAAGCTAGTTAGCAGCATCTCCTATTAAGAGACTGCTTGTTTCTATCCCTCAGCTGCAGTGTCAGCATCACTAATGTTCCTACTGCTACATTTCAAGTTGTCTCTGATTTGCCATCCCCTTGTATGGTACCTACATGTTGTCCTTTGGTGACTCACCTTGTGCAAGGAGAGGCATCCCCAATCTATTCATACCAGAGCTGTGTCTATTCATATCAGAGCTCCACAAGCCCTGCAGAGTAGTGCCGTGTTCCCTCTTCACCTCCTGTGAGGGGGTGAAAAAGTTGTTCCTGCAAACTGTTCCCAGTGACTTTTGGAACAGGAAAGTAGGAGGAAACTATTTTTCCTGTAGCAATGCATTTGTAGGACTCTTGGCATTATCCCCACTGCCTGCTGTTAATACATCTATTTTTTTTTTCTTTTGTTCGTAATATGTATATTTATTGTGATTGTCCAAATACACAGATTGCTCAGTCTTTTCTAAGGATGTTGCAAAGTGTGGTGCTTACACTGCTCCTGTCATGAAGTGTTAGAAGTCATAGCTGCCTTCAATGCATTTATCCCCGTTCCAATGAGAGTTAAAGAAAAAATGAGACAATATCCTGCTAAGCCACAGAGATTTCCTCCATATTTAAAAGGAAATGGATTTAATTTTATCCCTCTTTGTTGTTGTTTTTTCAGGATTTCTGCTTGGTTAGGAGTGCAGGTGCCCATCAGGGGTTGTTTGCCTTACACTGAATTAATAAGTCAGAAAATACAGTTTCTTACAACATGCTGGCATTTCCCCTCTATGGCATGGTACAGAGCAGAAAGGAACAAGGCAGAGATGTCTGGAAGTGAAGGTGCCATGAAGTCCTAGAATTCAGAGACTTTTTGTTGGGGAGGGAAAG